TTAATGCTCTGTGGTCTGTGAATAATGTGAACTCACTTATCATGTAATGGCTCTAGTGTTCAAGAGCTCTCACAATAGCATAAGACTCTTTATCGAGTATTTCCTCTGAGAATCATTCATCTTCTCATTGAAAAAGGTGAGAGGGTGATCTCTCTGGCTCAGCACTGCTCCTATACACATGTCGAATGTGTCACCCTCTACCTCAAACAGTTGGTTAAAGTCTAGTAATGACACGATCGACGCCTAAGTCACCTTCTCCTTGAGTGCCTTGAAACTATTCTGAGTTGCCTCTGCGTACTGGAATTTATCTCCCTTCAAAAGATCTGTCCGGGGGGGGCGGTGATGGTACCGAAGCTCTTGATGAATCACCTATAAAACAACATTGGGCTTAGAAACTGCCTCAACTTGGTGAATGACTGAGGTGCGGTATCCATCTAAATGTTTGCTCACAATGAAGTGACACTTGATTTTGCTCACAATGACCTTGATTTTGCGGGATCCATCTAAATGTTTGCATTAGACGCGATATAACCCAAAAAACATACATGGTATGTCATGAAGTGACACTTCTTAGAATTGGCATATAGTTTCTTTGTGTGCATTACCTCGAACGTTGCCCTCATGTGTTGTAAATGCTCCTTCTCGGATCGGTTGTATACTAAAATTTCGTCAAAGTAGACTACAAATTTCTCAATGTGTGCCCAGAATACCTGATTCATCAACCTCATAAAAGTACTGAGTGGATTTGACAGGCCAAAGGACATAACGGTCCACTCTTATAAATCATCTCATATCTTGAATGTGGTCGTCCATTCGTCTTCTAGCTCATCCGGATCTGGCGATATCCACTACGTAAGGCTCTATTTGGCGCAGCTTTGAATTATTTATAATCTGCTGATAAGCAGATTATTCTGATAATCTGCATATTATCAGAATAATATGACTTGCTGTTTGGGGCAGCTTATTCAGACTAATTTATTGGTGGTTAAATGACATTCATTCTGACATTCTTGTCTCTGTCTGATAAAACTGTTTGGGGCAGCTTATTCAGAATAGCTTTTTGGTAGAAAAGAAACATATAGTGCAGAAACATACGATAATAACAGGGATGTTCTGAAAGATACCATACAGTTCTCACATCCTAACGAGTACCAGGAGAACTAAAAAAAGTAGAGAACTAAAAAAAGTATACTAAAAAAAGTATAAATACAAGTACAACAATAAGGAGAAATATTAAAATATTTAACTTAAAACTTTTGCTGCATCCTATTGCTATACCAAAATGAAATTTGTAGCACTTTAAATGCATTCAAAACAGTTTCGAGTCATAAAAACATAAATGCATTCAAAACAGTTTCGAGTCATATATTCATCTCCAGCATGAAATTTACGAATGAACAGATAAATGTCACCAATGGATGAATGTTACAAATGAACAGCAATAGAATCCAACAGATTAAAGGTGCAGCAACCGAAACAGGAATAAGAGCCATATATTCATCTCCAGCATGAACTTTTGAATGTTACAAATGAACAGCAATAGAATCCTCCCCAATGTCATATCCATTGTCATTATTAACATAAACCGAAACTGGAATTTGCGACCAATGGGGATTGCAATGAATACATATATATGCAGCTCATAAACGGGATCCTTAATAGCAGCAGTTTCATGAAACAAGTTTAGAACTATGTTTTCTATAAACAGAAATTATTTGCAGCCCATAAACATCAGCTAATGAACTTGAAAAAATAATAAATATTACTTCCTTCTATACAGATGCTCACAAATTGTTCCTTGCTCTGTGTATGGAGACCTTGTTTAAGCAAAAATTAGGAAAAATCGAATGGCGCAGAAAAATTCGAAACAAAATCCATTCTAAACAATTGTTGACAAATGATTCCATGCTGCAAAAGTTTTTTCACGCCTAGAGAAAAAACGAAAGTAATTTTAGGGCAAAGAAATTCAGTCGCATTGTTGGAGTTCAAAAACAACGGAAACGACGATAGCATAGAAATCTTCGGTCAAATAAAAAATAAGGTTTACGGTCGGATCTATACAAATAAACGACGTTCGCACATCTACAAAGAACCATTTACGACCACCGACGTTCGATCGCTCTAGAGGAAGCATTCCTTACGAAATGACGGTGAGGGAAAGCATACCTTGCGATTGACGGGGGACGAATTGAAAGGAAACTCTCTGATCTCCTCTGCAGGGGACGAATCCAGGGAGGGAGAACGCGAGGGAGAAGAGGGGCAACTAGGGCAATATCACGAGTCGAACGCGGGACGCAGCCCCCACCCCGCGTCACAAAACTATTAAGGATTCACAAAATTTAACGCACTGCGGCAGGGATAATCCGTGCGAACGCCCTTTCCAAACACGAAGGATGTGTTTTGAAAACGCTGCCGCACCTAAATAATCTGCCCTAAACGGGTCGTAAGTCGATCTTTGAAAAGATGGTGGCTCTGTGTAACTAGTCCAAAAGATTGTCTAGGCGAGGTATAGAAAATCGATATTTGATGGCAATCTTGTTGATGACCCTACTATTGATGCACATCCTCCATGAACTTTCCTTCTTGAGTACTATTAGGGCGGGGACAGCACACAAACTGTTACTTTCTCTGAGCAACCCTCTTGTGATGAGATATTTTATCTGTAGTTGCAACTCCTCATACTCCGCAGGTCTCAATCTATAGTCGGCTTAGTTCGGTAACATTGATCCTGGTATAAGATCCGTGACGCGTTGAATGTCACTCGATGGCACTAATCCCTCCGAAAGATTGTCGATCATCACATCTTGGAAGTCGTGTAATAGTGGATGTAACAGTGTTGGTATCTCTCCTCCTCGGTTAGCTCTAGAAGAACTAATGCTAATGCTATTGGAGCATCCCGAACTAACAGCTTGAAGGTCTTCCTTGTCGCTTCTGCCTCCTCTTTGTCGCTTCCGCCTCTTGCTTCCTTTACAAGTAATAACAGGATATGCTTCTCATCCTTCTTAAAGTAGTAAGTATTTTTTAAGTCTTCGTGCTTATTCTTGCAGTCGAATTGCCAAGGCCCCCCAATAGAATTTGGCATGTGTTTATCGGAACCACATCGCACCATACTTGCTCATGTAACTAATCCCTAATCGAAAATTCGCAAGCACTGCTGATCCATGTATATATCATTTTCCTTCCTTAACCAGGTAATGGAATAGGATTATGGATGTTCCTATGTGGCCAATCTCAATTTCTTCACCAACAGTGTAGACACCACATTTTCACAACTATTGTCGATGATTCAGCTGCAAACCTTGCCCTTTACCGTGCACTTGGTGTGAAAGATATTATCTCAAGCAGGATTGATCTCGCTTCGGCTTTGACTGCAAAACTCTCTGTTTGACTAGCAATTCTCTCTCACCACCCTAGAGCTGAAGTTCTTCCTCTGGACTATTCTCTGACTCTCTGTCCCCAACCTCGTCAACGGCGCCTTGATCTGTGAATTGTGACAACTCGACTCGTAGAAAGGCTGGAGGCTATGTGCATGTAGTTGTGGCACTTGAAACACCTTATGGTCGGTACTGTACTAAAATAGTTACTTTTTTTCAGCTTCTTTCCACTTTGATCTGGCTTGTCATTTTCCTGTTCTTTCTTGCTAGCTCCTCCCGAGGTACCTTTGTCGGCCGCAGTAGATGTAGGTGTCTGTCTAACTGAAGGTTGTTGCCTGAAGGAAGATTGTTTTCTACTCTATTTTTGTTGTCTTTCCATCTTCTAGAATAGAGTTTGAACATCCCCTAGTGTCTAGTATGTTTGTAAGCATTACATTGCTAATAGCGGCCTTCAGGCCGCCCAGATAATTCTGGCTCCATGGTATCGGGAGGGCGGGTCGGTCCAGCCTCCTGCTAGACCGGGACTCTTCCCTGTTGAACCACTGGTAGGTTCAGTCGGGCCCCTAAGCCCTACGTGAATATCTGGTTTGTAGTGAGCTTGTAGGAACTGGCGTTGCATCTTCCGTTTTATCTTGGACCGGACATTAATTTTATCTTTTCTTTCTCGCTTGCATAGGTATTTCATATTTTGCCACCAAAGTAATGCACTTTTTTTAGCTTGTTGGCAGCTAGTTTTTTCCAATCTGTCCAGCGAGATGTCCTAACAATCAAAGATTCACTCCATTGTCCATAGCCACTCAATGAACTCATTTGAATCCATGTGACCGTCGAAATATAGCAAATCTATCTTTACTTCAAAATTTTAGCTTCTAAGATATTTCAAGCTACATCGTCGAAATGTTGTGTATTCATAATATTTTCTCGAGTTAAGGAGGCTTTCAGTTCTTAGAGTTTGAAAGAAAAAGAAATTCCTATGTGATTTTACCAATTTATTTTATGACTTCTTTGCCTTGACAACCTAATGAACCATGCAAAATCCGAACATGTACGTTGTAAGTTGAGGCTTCACACTTAAATTATCAAGTATTTTGGATTGATGTGATGTATTCATGATATTTGATTGAGTTGAGGATTCTTTCAGTTTGAGAGTTTGCAGGCAAAGGCAACACCTATTGTTTTTTACAAATTTCTTTTATGATTTCTTTTCTTTGCAACTTAAATCACCATTCAAAGTTCAGACATATAAGTTGAGGCTTTAGCCTTAATTTTTCAAACATCTTTTATTGATGTGATGTATTCTTTATCTTTAATTGCCCAAAAACTTTTTGAAATATCTAATCGTTTTAACCTCTCTTTTTGAATGAACTAACCTTAAGTCATCCTGCATAATATGATGCTTCTTGACTGAAAAAAATGAAAATGGGCACTTTTCGTAAAAAAAAATAAATAAATAAAAGTTTATGCACAATTGGCCTATTTGATTTTGTGTATTTTGTCCTAGCTCAATTGTTCAAAGGCATTAAATTATTAATTTTCTTTTTTTTATTATTTATATTTTTTTCCATCAGAACTATAATTTTGTATTTCACATCAAAAACTAAAGCTTACCTGGAGATTACGTTGCAGATTCAGGTTTTTCCGTATTCCGTCTACTACATATTTTTTGAGCAGTATCTTCATATATGGAAGACCGCATGGACTATCATTGCAATTGGTCTAGGTTAGTATTCCTCTCTAGTCTTTTTAATCTGCTACCTATCTCCCATAATTGAATTACAGCGTGCCTATAAATATATTTTCCTTGTCAATTAAAATATTTCACCATGGCCCTTATATATTTATAACTTTTTCATTCTACATTGTGTACTATTTTGTAAGCATTGTTTCCCTTAGTTATTTTGGAATACATTTATTGTATATATATCAAACATTTAGGTTTCCATAGCAACTTAATTGGTGATATGTATAGTTAGTTCTGCATTGAATGTGGAGTTTTGTTAATTATTATAATAACTTGGTAGCTTATTCTTTCTGAGTTATCAATGTTCTATAGCTCTGGTCCTATGCTAAATATTTTGTTACTCCCTACATGACATTTGATTTGTATCTGATCTCGTGCCTCCATATCTATTGCTAAACTTTTATCTTCTACATATATCACAACCAGCTTCGAGCTTGGAATTAAGAAAGTTGGGTACAGATTGATGGACAGTGGAAATTAAAATTTCTTGAATTCATTTTTTATAACTAACATTTAATTAATAAAAGAGTCATTAAAAAAAATAAATTAAAACAGTACAACTAAATTTACCTCATTACTGATTGTCTGCGCCCTCGATAAGCATTTTCTCTTTTATCGCTCCTTTTAAATTATTTTATTAAACCTGAAATGTTAGTTTAAAATAACAGTAACCTAATTAAAGCCATTGAATACTTACTATTTGACTACAATAACACAATGAAGAGGAAATCAATATGCATGTCAGTTAAGCTTGTAATTAGTACAAAAGCATTTGATAATTTTATGATCTTGATATTTCATAACATTTAATGTGTTTTTCTATATCATTAATATGTTTACATCATTTTATATATGTACAATTGTTACAAGAGCACCGTTTAGAAATTGTATCATTTAATGCACTTTAATATCAATATCATTTTTCATTTAAGTACATGGATACCTTAGTGTTCCTCTACTAGTGCTATAAAAAGATGAATTTCATCATAGCCAAGCATATACATAGAAGCATACTATAGCCAACACTCTCTGATAATGATTATTTTTTTCTCTTTTGTACGGCTGTCAATATATTTGTACAAGAATCAATATCTATGATAATTTAAACAATATTTAGTACATATATCATTCCTACAATATGAATAAAATTCAATAAAATCATAAATCATGGGTATCAATGTTATAAATATAACAGTAATAATAAATGTATTTGGTCGAGAAGGAACAAAATATTACTATAGCATAAGAATATGAGTACTTACATTGATGTCAATTTATTTGTTCTTGGATTTGTCTTGATCTCAATTCTTCTAAAATTGATGTCTATAATAAATATGATATTCATATAACTAAAATTGAATTTATTCATATTACTTTAATGATGTGGGGCTTCTTCTTCACACCCCCAACCAAGCGTGACGTGAACCAGTCTAGTCTCCCGTGACAGGTTCACTTCTATTAGAATACTCGCGATCCCCCGGCTCACGTTCCGCGATCGACGCCTCTCGCACCCTAATCTTCCGCCGCCTCCTAGCCGTTGCAGCGCCCCTCTTCATCTCCTACCATTTCCTCCCCTTCCTTACCATTTTTAGCTGCTACTCATCCCCATTTATATGTGTCTTTGCTCAAGCCCTAATCATTTTTTGTTTTGTTGTTATTTTTACATTCAAATGGTTTTCCTAGTGTCTCCCTCGTCTGAGGGTTGTATCCTTCGCGAGTTATGCTACGGTTGTACTCGCCAATATGGTGTGTATCGCCAACCCGTTCCATCCGCCCTGTGACTGCTTCTGCCTCTACCGCATACTAGCCTCATTCAGCAAGGCGTTCGCCTCTCCCCCCCCTCCCTTTCCATGCCCCACTCCCCATCTCTACTGTCCCATTCCCCCACCTTCCCCACCAGGTGGGCAAACCAATAGTGCCCTCCAGTTCCTTTTGATCGTCGCGAAACAGCTACTGTCAACCCTCTGTCGCATTCCACTGTCGATGCTTCATCTGACAACCTCCTAGCCGTCATCGACTTTCCTCCAAACCCTCTTAGAACTCTTCATCGCTCTTCACCACCATCCAAGACTGTTTTTGCTCTTTTATGTTATTCATTTCTTGTCACTTGTCGAATCAGTGTATCTTTCTTTATAGTTTATTTGCTTGTGTTGTCACTTGTCATAGAGTCATTGTACGTTTTCAATTCAACAATAAAATTTGTGTCGATTGAGTCATGGTTTGGGTTAACTCCGATATCATTTAATGAAAACCTAAAAAGAGTTAGTGTAGTTCCCATGGCAGTCATTATTAGAGAGAGTCATCTTAGATGTTTTAGTCACATTAAACGTCGACCATGTGATGATCCTGCGAGGAGAGTAGATGGTTTAAATTCGACTCCTATTAAGAAAGGCAGAGGTGGACCTAAAAGGACTTGGGCATATGGTATAAAAATTTATCTTAATCTTAAAGGAGACAATGAAGAAAAAGGATCTATGTAATCGACCCCACTTAGTGGGATAAAAGCTTGTTATTGTTCTATATTATTTTAATTAACTGTTTTTCTCCAAATCAGAAATTTCAACGCTGACTAACAAATTCAAATTTGTTCTTGTTGGGAAATATCAGTGGGGACACCCATCGATGGAAATTATCAGGAAAAAATTTTATGACCTCAAATTAACAGAAAAGTAAAAAGTGAGGCTCATGGATGGGAGACATGTATTGATTCAGTTAACCGTGTCCGAGGACTACACTCAGATTTTCTCCAGAACATATCTTAACATCGCTGGTAAACCTATGAATCTACTCAAGTGGTCTCCTGATTTCGACCCAAATCATGAAACTCCCACTGTACCAGCATAGTTTAGTTTACCTGGTCTCAATCTGCATTTTTTTCACCATCAGGTTCTCTACTCTATTAGGACAGGATCTCTACTCTATTAGGACCATCCTTGGGGATCCTTTGAAGCTAGATCTGTCTACTTCCAACCTAACCAGACCCTCAGTGGTCAGAATACTTGTGGAAAGGGATATTACCTTACCTGATGTTACTGAAGTCTGGCTGGGCACAACCCATGATGGTTATTAGCAACAAATCATCATGGAACACAGATCCCCATATTGTACCCACAGTAAGATGTTTGGTCATGTCCTTAATAAATGCCACAAGTTTCATCCAAATTTGAAATCTAAGGTTCAAGTGAATAAGGATGGGTCTAACCTCACTACTCTGGACATTTTAGTTCCACCTGGGGAGGATACTACCAGACAGGAGGTATCTGTTGCCCCTGACCCCCCCTGACATTGTTGTTACTGTTACTCGCGAGTGATGTGATGTTGACACCTTCAAACCCCATAGAAAATAATACTAATGGACTATGTTCTATAAATGATAATGATCAGACTGATAATCAGGAGAGCCTCCTAGCTCCACTTCTTTAGGAGGTATCCGGTGTAAAGGCAACTCATACTTCACATATACTATAACTTATTGTGGGTACTACGATTGGTATTTCTTCTCCTTCAGCTCTATCATCCCATCAAACTAATTCTTCAGAAAGAGGAATGACAGGTCTATTCCAGGAGGAAGAAGAATGGAGATCGACTCTAGCTCGAGAACATATTGGATGATACATGAGTTCCTACTGGCAATGACAATCATCTTACCAGCTTATTAGCTTGTTCCTCCCCTAGAACTAGAGGCAGAGGCAAGACTAAATTGGGTCGCTCTCTAGTCACCTGATATTATTTATTTCAGCACTGTTAGGTTTTTTATTTAAGTATCTAATGTATTTAGTATCTAATGTATTTTTCTGTTATTTAAGTATCTAATGTATTTTTCTGTTTTTTCTAGTTTTTGAATCATTTGTGGTTTTTGTGTGGGGAGCGTGTCATGCTTGAGCCCTCCCAGATATTGTATGTGTATCTTTCTTTCTATTTAATATATTAGCCTTTTTTGGGCTTTCAAAAAAAATTAGTTAACTGTTAACTTTAAGTTATTTAAGTATTAATTTCTATCGTTTTATTTTATGCAATCCTAATTAATTTTATGTTGTTATTCAGTATATATTTTTAAAATTTATTATTTAAATTATAATATAAGATCAATTTTCCTCCTCATTTAGCTTGCACACTTCACCTATTCCTTCGGATCAATGGCACGAGACATTCACAAGGCTCTTTCCCAACCTGACATCATAGCATGCATGTGCAGTGGATGTTCTACTCGGCTTAAACCTCTCACGACATTTCCCTCACCTGCTCGACACTGATACTCTCGCAGGCTTCGCCGCCCTTGTCAAACTTCTCTTCACCTCTGTTTGACGATCACCTACGTCGTCATCTGTGGTCGTCGCCTCCTTCGGCTACGAGGAAGCCCTAGCTTGCGCTCGTCAATCCTCCTGCTTTCGTACGCATTGATGACCCCCCCCCC